TTGCAATAGTCAAATCTTATTCTCATATATATATATTGATCAAAGTTGGAATAGTGGGATTTGGCAAACGAAGATCTCTCCCACGATCTTCGGCTTGTTTATTCGTCTTTGCATTACATAACGTATCTGATCTACCTGGTCTTGGGTGTTTTCCGGCCTAAATAATTAGCAGCAATAATACATCTGCACATTATTGTACTAAAAGGGCATAAGCATTCGCATTCCACCCACAAATCTGCCTAATCAAGAAAGTCCGACCATTCACATGCCTTTTTAAGCCCATACGCCATTTCCGGCCAATTTATAAATACTACCGCAGTCCGCAATTTCCGACCACACAGATCTGCATTATGAGCATCCCCGATGACACTTATACTTCGTTTACTAGAACCGACACAGACGCGCCTGTCATTTCGTCTTCTCGACGTTCAAAGTCGAAAGACCAAGAATTAACCAGCGAAGAAGCCTTAAAGTAAGCCATGCATATTATACTGGGAATCGAAAAATTTGAAGTTTGGGTCAGAGCAACTGCTATTTTCTATATTTTTATATGATCCATCTAACTCGATTCGTTCTGAAAGAAAATTGATTCAAGCGGCGAATCACATTCTTGCTGAGCACCGAAAGAGTCTACCCAAAATATCAGTGCTAACATGTAAGTTAATCGCTTAATATACTCCTGTGTATATTGCTTACTCTGGCATACCTTCTAACATATTCTTTTACAACATTCCTTGAATGCATGGTAATACACTTGTCTAATCTTCATGTGTTGGTTCAGGGACACGAGAATTCCTCTCTCGTAAAGATTCCAAATTGATAATTCTATCTGTTATCTTATTGATTGCTTTCTACGCTTATGGGGCAATAAAGAGTGATCGATATCAATTCCGTTTGACTGGAATCCTCGTGGAGGCCATTATGATTCTGTTAATGCTAATATGGAATGGATTTCTCTACTTCAGAGAGAAAAGAGCTTCTTTGTTAGAATTGACTCTGAGGGTTGAAAAGATTATTGAACAAATGAAAACGACAGAAATAAAAAACATTCAGGTATTAATGCGATTTAGCTGTTATTATAACAATCGTACTATGCCCTTGTAACCGTGTAATACTACTATCCAGGAAATGAGGATCCCATTCGTTCCATCAATAACATTTACAAAAGTATTCCGGGATGGAATAGAAAGTACAATACCAACATACCTTCTGGTAGAAGGTGACATAGTTGAGCTATTCTTTGGTGACGTAGCTCCATGCCAGATGCAGTTTATTGCACCGACAGACGCCGATCTCTCCCCAAGTAAACTGACATTAAATACAAATGAAGTGTTTAAACCATCATTTTTCTCAGAACCCGAGCCGCAATTACTACTGGACAATCACATTTCCAATCGTGGTCGATATAGATTCAAAATAATAGAAACGCCATGGGCGAACAATCTTAAATGTGTACTTAATCAACGGCGCCCTGCAACTGTGCTGTGCAGACAGGCCCAAGTGCTGGAGGATGTATTTTTTAAGAAAGCTATATTCATTATATTTGCTATTGTTTTCCTTATGACTTTACCGAGATATATCGTGTACGAAGTGATCAAAAGCGATCGACGAAATCAAGCGCTTGAGTCTTTAATCGTGTTACCAGTATACTGCATTTTACCAATCCTTCCATTTACGTTCCCTACACTTTGGTTGGTCGTGCGTAGTTTTAGTAATGCTACTGTACTCGTGCTGTTCGAGTTACTTCAGATATCAAAGACAGATTATGAAGACGATGATGAAGTGGACGAATTTGATGCTGAAGCTCCACCGCCCACTAAGAATGTGCATCTGGATCGAGGTATGATTCAACAGCAGAAGGTTGAAGCACAAGTCGTCAATAATATTGAAATATAGCTGTATTCATGTTGCTTGTTATTTATAGCTGCTGTATGGAGTAAATTTCGTTATTTATTAACACAATGGGATTTATCTGCATTGCCTCGGACAAACAATCTTTTTGAGTCACTGGGAAGCACTACTGTTATCTGTTCACTTGATCGAGAAGGGACAATATCGTCTGTAAGTAAATGAAAATGTCATTGTTCGTGCAAGCATTTTGTGATTTGCCGATTTTCGAATGAGTCTTTCTCTTTCACGTAGCCATATCCTTCGGTTAAGCAAATATTCTTTCCCATCGAGAACGAAGAGACGACTCGACTTGACGTTGCAGAGGATCCTGAGATGCCATTTGGTGTCAGGTTTGAAGATCAAGACTGGTCGCAATATATGTCGTAAGCATCGCATGCTTGTTGATTAACGTCTGATAACTGTCCAGCAACATGTGTTTTTTCTAACCGATTACATTCTTGTAGATCCTTGAAACCGCTGGGTCTTAATCTCCTACTCAATACAACTTGTGGTGCTCTCCAAGGCCGCAAGCGCATCGATCAGCATCAAAAATGGTCCAAGCTCCACCGTTATGCCAAAACTAAACCAGCCAGGCAATGTACGATGCTAAGCACGATTTTTGTTTATTTTGCAGATTATTGGACATCTAATTAACTTATCTCATACAGCTTGCTTATGCCAATTGGGCAAGGAAATAGGATTTACTGACGATGCCCTTCAGGCATTCGTCAGAAGGAAAGAGATTTACGCTTTTGCTCCTTATCATCCATCACTACGCGAGCGCATACGTGATGACCAATGGGAATTACCAATTATGGTTTCGTTGATATATGAAGAGGAAGGATCGGGGAGTTATCAGTTATTATCCGAAGGACACGCGGAAGTCATATTGGATAGCTGCTCTGATTATTGGGATGGACGAGGATTGAGACCTATGAGCCAAGCGGTGAGTATGGCAATTTTATGGGAGCGAGATTAAATAGTATTACATACCCACGTCTGTATGTATTTAGTAATGATGTTGGAAATACTGAACAATGGGTAATATACAACGACTATTAGATGGAGAAGAAAATATACGATTTCTACCAAAACGCCATTGTAAACGACCTCCAATGCATAGCCTATGCCTACCGTCCAATAAACACCGAAAATGGCAACCCCATTCCTTTTCTTGATTCTCCTTCGTCTTCTAACATTGCATTCATCATGCTACCGCCTTCCGAAGATTATGTCGTATACGCGGCATCCGGCTCTAACGTCTCGATCACTACCTCTAATCCTCCTTCCCTCTCCACCACGCCAACCGATCTCTCCAGATCACAACTTATCAGACTGAAACATCTTCAGGCTGGTCAACTGGAAGCTAATCTTCATGATTTTGTATTCGATGATCGAGTCACGCATAAAGATGAAGAAAAGTTCTATAGGGAAGTGATAAACGGGCAGATATTTTTAAGTATGGCAACATTAGGTCATGAACCAAAAGTGGTAATGTGTCTTTTGTAATGGAAGAGGAAGTTATCAATTGCAAAGCAACGAGCTGAGTTCTTTTTTGTTGTATATGTTAGGATGTGCGAGATTTTATTGAGGATCTCAATTTAGCGGGCATTAGATTTGTCTACTTTTCACCGACAGCAGAACGTGAGAGCAAAGGTAATGTTATTTTAAATTATTTATCAATCTTCAAATAAATCTAGAAAAGTTTCGATTCTAACTCTCCATAACAATCGTTAAATGTTACATCATTTCTTATTTGTAAATCCATCCTTTACGAATACGAAAAGCTTACGCCGAAGAACTCGGTCTCGAAACCGATTGGAACAGTTGTATACTTCTATCCTCCCCTGGTGACGCAAATTCGTCTTCTATGGGCTATCGTGAACCGCACGACATCAAAGCTCGCCTCCCACGAGGTGTTGGCTCTATCCGCAGTCACCTTACAAAAGTCGACGACATTCCATTACACGTCTCACTTTTCGCCGAATGCACACCCTCTACAACTCTAGAAATGATGAAAATATTTCAAGAATACGGAGAAGTCGTATGTTGTATCGGGAGTTCCCTGAACGCAGCTAACGCGCAAGCATTTGCAGTGGCTGATGTTAGCGTAGCTATGGAGCCGATGCACACAAGGGTGCAGATGAGAAACGGAATGTGGTGCGCGAGCGGACGTGGAGTAAAGGAGGGATTGGCTGTTGGGGCCATGTTGAACAGTTTGCCATGTGCATTGTTCATGCAATATGACACTAGTCTTTATGCACTAACCGATGTTATCAGAGAGGCAAGGAGGTTGACGAATGCGGTTAGATATGTATGTATAAATTATGTTGCTGTGGTGGTTTTGGAACGTGTTTGAGCCTATGTCAATCATATGCAAGTTTCACCTTGTATTTTAATATTCGTTTGTTTTTGTCATAGGGTGCTGCATTCCTCATAGGCAGCTATTTGGCAACGTCCATTCTTTTGATTCTCTCTTCTTGCCTTTTTTTGCCACCTATCTTCACTGGCTATCAAATACTCTGGATAATGTGGATTATTTGTCCCATGCTGGCTTTTTCATTCTTGTTTAATCCCCACGAAGCTGATACAATGACAACAATGACTGGGAAGAACAACGAACATCTAAAAGATTTCAAGCGCTTTGTCATCTATTTCGTCTTACGATTCTTTCTGCCGATCTGTTTCTGTATTGCTGTGTTTGTTAGTTCGCTGTATTATTTCGATGGACAACATGATCTCTCTTTTGTTTTCGGATCTTATGGAAATGTCGATTGGTTGAAATTGGATAGTGACCAGCAGTGGGCCCTTGTGTATGCTCAGAATTATGCCTTGTTTGCGTTTGTATGGTATCTGGGTAAGTATCTCTATTGTATGGGGGCCTCGAAGATAGTAGTAGCTATTTCATCATTATATTTCGTCTATTGACCAATTCTTCTCTTGATGTTTAGCATGTACTTCGAGTACATTCGTTCATCGAACTCTTTCGTTGCGCGGTTTTCCGCCATTCAAGAACAGAATGTGGGTCGCCATGTTCTTTGCCAGGTAACAATGATCAACATCTATTTGGTTATATAAATCCGTTATAGTAACTAATACTTCACCGATAAATTACGTTCCTCTTCCAGTATTACTCTTCAATCTCTCTTCACTATGATATCTCTTATCACCGGTCCGTTCTCGCTGAGTAAAGTATCGTTTCCTGTGTATGTGATTGGCCTGTTGAGTCCAATTCTATTTATCCCAGTACAGGAATTAGTTAAAATGCATGACAAGGAAGAATACACAAGATTTCAGAAAAGATCCAAATTAGAATTTAATACTAAATTAGGAATGCATTCTCCAATATAATAGTAGATAGAAAGGTATGTAACTAGTAATGTAATCAAATATAATATGATTTTCTACGCAGAGCGTCGACTTTCCAAATATAGTGTGTAAACGAGCAAAATGGCTTATTCGAAACGTTGAGATCTCTGTTTTTATTATTGACAAGCCAATATGATATTCTTTCACGATGACAGGGTTACAGCGTGTTTGATAGAGTTTAGTAAAATAATTAGGAATTTTCTCCCGATTGTCAATTTGCATTATTTATCATTATTGAGTTGGAATTGCCAATCATCTGTTAACATTCGATTTTAATCTCTGGAATATCAATGTCTTCACGTATAAAGTTTGCATCCACTGAGATCTTTCCTTTTATACCACAACTACAATTTTGTTGGCCTTTCTCGAAAACACTTAATCATGTTCTTTGACCAGCTGTTATTAACATGATTGGTCTATTCAACGCGCGTTTTTTCTTTTCTTCAAATAGCAAATCTTTTTAGCAGACGTTTTGAATCGCCGTGTTTGCTTGGATGTAATTTAGTGAATGGTAATGTTTTGACTTTGCTTATCCGTTTTTATTTTTACTCGGCTGCGGTGAATAAGATACCAACTTAAATCACATGAAAAAATTTGTTATTATTACATATTGTAATGGCAGAAACAACTGCACACATCAAAGATGATGAAAGTATTGTCACAGAGGACACTCCTGTCACAGAGGGATTAGAGTATTGGCTAAAACAACGTGAAGAATGGACTGGAGGCCACAGCAGCGCTCCAGTAGAGTCGCCAAATAGTAATAACCCTGCACTACGGGAAATTGTTCCCGATAACTATTTAAAAATATACACACACCTCGTTCGGAATAGGAGGAAATTGTCAAAACCCATCCCGCTATCTTTTACGGTGAGCTTTTATAATGCGGGGTTATGTAACTGATATAAAAATGGGGGTTCTTCCATATTGAATTGGCATATTAATTAGAGCCCTGATATTAATATTAACATTGCTAAATGTTTGACTGAATTAGATCAAAATACTGGTGGCAGGCTGGAAAGCCGATGGCACTTGGCCAACTGAAGAAAACGTCAACAAATCTTCAATACAAGAGAACACGAGAAAATGAGATACTGTGTATTTATGCAAATTCAAAAGCACCATTTTATTTTCGCATCAAATTTACTGTTGTACATTCCCTATACATTACATGACCCAACAATTCCAAATCCTTTCCTTTCCACTCTTCTTTTCATCACTACTCATTTTCATTTCTCCTTTCTCAAATGTCACTTCTTCACTACTCTTACTCGCCTCGGCTCTTCCTTCTTTCTCCTGTATCATTTCTAATTGTTTCTTTGCTTCCTTCCCAATATCATCATCATCTTTCACTGCTGCTAACATGTAGTATCGTTTAGCAAGATTTGTGTTTTTCTCGACTCCCAGTCCGTCATCATACATTCTTGCTAGATTCATCTGAAAGGATATACGCGTAGAGAATAGAAGTGTGGGAGAGTAAGCCTAACAAGAAAAATAAAGGAGTGCACTGCGACATACTGATCGAACCTGAGCTATACGAAATCCTTGAGCAGCGGCCATTTTCCAGTACTCTGTAGCTAGGCCATAATTTTGCTTGGTGCCTACACCGCGAAAATACCGATCACCTACATTGTATTGGGCTTCGGGCAAACCTATTAAATTTACTTGTGAGCGATCATGAAATCTACTCATAGTAATCGGACGAAATGATGCGATATAATAGCATATAATTTACTTATTACGAACTGACTAACAAAGGATTCAAGGTTGGAACAAACTTTCGCAAACATGTTCTAAGCAAATTTGTCTATCTATATTTCCTTATTGTTTTCAATTAGGTTACAACAGGATATATTTGTTCTAGAAGTATAGTATCACGAACGCCTAAAGATTTTAGGTGTAATTCTATTCGGAATTCTTAAATAACCACACCAGAAAAAGTTAGTGAGCGAATATATTTTCGCTTTCTTTGATATTGGGTTTTATACTACAAATTTGCTCAGGATGTTATACGTCTTTGCGAAGTTTCTGTCCAACTCAGTCCGAGCTTAGAAAGATTCCACATCCAATTCGAAGGCCGACCGCATTTCTTACCTTTTGATGCTGCAGATACAAAGCACTTAAAAGCTTTCTCCTCATCTATTTTTCCATCATTAGTATCTAGTCCATTACTGTAATAAACTCCCATCATAAATATCGATTGGGCATTTTCTACATGGTCGAGAGATTAATGAGATGATTTCTGCAGATATTAACTAGGAAATACGTTGAACTTACTCGCATCAGCACCCTTTTTGAAACATTGAAAAGCCATCTCATGATCTTGCGCAACACCAATTCCGCCCCTATACATCCTTCCTACCAAATACAGTTTTGTTTCAATAATTGTTTCATACCAGAATACTCAATCTCATTAATCATTTTACCAATTTCAGTCCACGCATTGGAAATACCACCGTGACCAGCCGATTCGTACAACTCGATTGCTTTTATATAATCGTTTTTCTCTCTCGCCAACATCGACGCAAGACTAAATTGAGCATACACATGACCGTTGGATGCTAATTGCGAGAGAATTTTCATGCCATCCGCGACATTACGAGCAGTACCTCCAGAGCCCTTGCACAAAATATTAGCATAACTAAATGCAGCGTTACTATCCCCGTTATCCATAGCTATTCTGTATAATTCGCGCGCGACTGGTGTACCGCGCCCAGCTTTGAAAAGAAAAAAGAATGGTGGATAAATGGGTAATATGAAAGAAACGGAAAAAATTGTCTAAGATATAAAATTGCAAAAAGAAAGGCTTGAGATAGAGCCGTATGAGCATATGTATACCAGTAGTTGTTCGAAAGACTAGATTTGCAAGAGCAGTGATATCTGCAGTGTTCGAGTCAGCTACTGTAACATCAAGAAAGAATATCTTAATATAATTATGATTTTTCGCTCAAAGTTATATATTATGTCACGCTAATACTCACAGTCAAATACCTTTTTTTGAGCGCTTTTCTTCGTTTGAAAATCATCAGACCCTATAATATCTTCAAATGTGATCCTTATAATATCCTGCTGTAACTTTGTCGGTAAGCCAATACTCTTATTCTGTCGGTACGCTTCAAATTGCGCGTTTGAGGGCATAACATCTAATGGTATACGACGACGTATGGCGTATTGTAGTTTGCTAAATAATCGGTTTGAAAAAAATGCCAAATCTCGCCACGCACCATCCAAAGTTAAACAGCGTTCTTTCTCTTGATCTGTCAATTCGACTTGAGACTGCTGCACTTCTTGTCTATCACTTATCATCATCAGCTTTACATATGAATAATGCCTTTGCAGACAATCACGCCCCCCCTCTTCTTATTAATGTCAAAGTCATACCCAGTCGGCGACATTAAAGTAGTAAAATTTTTAATCCCTTGTGAGGCAGCATATTGGCGACTAACTAGTGATGTAATTGTGGATCGATTGGAATATATGAGGTTATATCGTGCAAAGGCGATGATAAGATTGCGGTTGAGGTCTATAATAGCTGTCATATAACGAGGGTGCATCCTTGACAATTGAAAGAAGCAAGATTAATATTTTCATTTTAAGCAATCTATTTCTGCCAGACGTTGATCATTGTACTACGTTCTCATGGCGCGTCTTTCACATGACCCCCTAAAGTAGATCATTATTACGATGTGATATACAATGATCAGATGCAAATATTGATGAAAGTATTTTAATAATTCAATCGCATACAACATTCTAAATTCGGTCGTAAAAAATATGCCGAATAAAATGAAATTGAGTCATGACACAAAAACATACAATGTAATCGAGCCATAGTTGTACAGAATGTTGTGGCCTAAAATTAAAGTAGACGCGCTTGTTATATAAGAAGCGTAGTTAAGATGTTGAGGTGTGCCATTCCATAACTAAATATCAGATACTATATTAAAATAAAGTCAGCCACGTATGTATTCTCTATCGCTGGAATATACAATATATTCACTGCTCTGGGTTGCTAATCTAATATTAAGATAAACTACTCGAACAAAAAGTGCAACTCACGTGATTCACGTAATAATTATTAACATAAAAATCACATTATATCCATCGTGGTGAAATTTCCTGATGCAATGACAACAAACAAGTTAAAGTATTTGTCTTAGGCGGCTTTGTATAGTTTATCGACGGATCCCCTCCAACAAGATCGAATACCGGAAACTCTCCGATTATCTTCTGGAAAATCTGAACCATCAAGTCTGTTATTTTTCCAGGCGGTATCTTTTTTGGCAAGTTTTGCATTCCGCTGTGTGCACTTATATAATAACGAATAGAAAACCAGACATTGTTACACTTTAGTAACTACTGTTATCGAAATTTCTGAAATTGGCGATCACATTCTATATATAATCAAGCCATACTTTAAGAAAAATATGTACATATGTATTAAGTTAAATATTTCTTTATTTCCTGTTCTGTTTAATCTGAAACTATGACTAAACTATGATTAAATTCTTACTGTTTTAAGAAACATTTATGTCTATATTGTGGCTATTGATTGAAATCGCGACGCTTTAACTGGCCGACTTTTTGAAATTTCACGGGTGCAGAATATGGAGGTAATAGGGTTGGGGAAAATAAAAAGCCAATTAACACATTCTTCAGAGATTAACTTATTATTAGTATGCTATCGCGTTCTACAAACGTGTGATTATCAAAATATTTTCAGCCACAACCTATCCTGCTTTATTGTCATATAAAAATATTGATATTTTTATTAGAAGTTAAGGAGGTTCTATTCGTTGTTATCTGATACTATTGATGATTGTCAGAGTCTGGTTTAAATAATCTCTATAATAAGGCAAGAAAATGCAACATCTGGCAGACTTATTAATGGCTAATACTGATCGTTGACCAAGAAAAGGTGTGGGAGGATTTCTTATTAGTTTCACCTATAAATGAATGCTAAAGGTCTACGTGGGAGGATTTTGGGATGGTGTGGGAAGTAATTGGGAATATGTGCATTCTATTCGGATGATGAACACGAGCATTTTTGCATTTATAGAATTATGTGACTACTTTCGATGCCCCAACAAAAGACTGTGAATACGAGAGTAAGTTATTGAGAATGAGTTCTACAAAAGTCTCTCTTAAAACGAATCACAGAAGAAAGAGACGCAAGTTGTTTTATAGAGGTTTTACAAGAAATTATAAGGGAGAGCAACGGCGAACGTAGAAAACACCAGAACGTTTGGTATAATAATAAGGTATATTAATATGTGTTCATATGAATATACTTTTCAACCCTATTATATGAAGACGTATGATATGGAAATGACGGTTAATGGGTTGAGTAAGCGGTTTTCCGCATTCGAAGCGATGATCCACCGGCGATAATCTGCTCCTGACACCGTTAACACTGACAACAACACAGCCGCTATTTCTTGATGTGGTGTAGAAATAACAGTAATGGCGTTGAGTAAGCTGGTTTCCGCATTCGACGCGACGAGACACCGGCGATAACCCATTCTGATTAGTTAAACTGAACTTTTCAACTAGTCTTATTTTAACATACATTATAACTAATCATATTTTTATCCTACCAGGTACGATTTGTTTGGAAAGAAATCCGGATGAAACAAGAGAAACTTTGAGAAACGGAGATTTTGTAACTAATTTTTGTCGGCCGAATTATGTTGCGCCAGTCATTAAGAAGGGTAGCAAATGTATTGAAATGAGAACATTGTAGGGTTGTGTGGTGGAATTTAAGAGATCTAAAGAAGGCTACCAGGATAATATGGAACGGAGGCTTTGTCGGATATCGACAATTCTATGTGTGGAATAGCTCGGTTGACATGGTAAACTGCCATGCGTTCTTGGGACTTTGGGTAAGTGTAATTTGTTTGGGTACAATTGTGCGATGCTAGCCTATTTCAGCATAAGTATGTCAATCTTCGCTTAACCGTTCAAAAATAAACGATCAACTAACGCGGATTTTCTAGGCATAAATCTTGCGCATTCGTCTCGAACCGTACGGAATATAGGCAGCTTTAAAGGACGTTGTTCGTAAACAAAAAGATGTGTCTCTGGCACATGCGCCACTTACAGGATAATAAGTGAAGTCGATGTCAGTACTCTGTCGGATAAAGATCCATTAATTAATGGTATAACAGATTCACTAATAAAAACCACAGCCTTCTCGTTGGTAAAAATGCTTCTACAAAGAATCTGAACAGAGACGCTTCAATAAAAGATGTATGTGCTGAATTCATTGCAGATAAAAATCAAATTCGCCAAAAATATAGATTTATATTAATGCCATCCGAAATAACTTCCCATGATCGTTGGTGGAGTCGGAGTACAATAGAGCACAGATTGCGAGAGGCATCACAAATGTCCTCTTGAACAAGATAAAATTTGGAATAATCGATAGAATCGCAACTGAATCAGAAAGAACCCTTGTTGAAGCTATAGTGCATCTAATCGAAGCTTAATTTCCGTTGAATTCGACGTGAAGGTGATACGAGATGAAAAGCAGAGCGCGGCAAGCAAGAAACACAGACTCGGTGGAGAAAGACCCGACCTCATGATACAGGCGCTATTTAAAAAGCAGTATAACGAACTTGCATATATTGAAAGCGGAAAATGGAGGTCGTCTGATAAAATAATAAGAAGGAATCATGACAAATTAGCGGGTCTTTGTTTTTGCGGATACGAAGAGGTTACAAAAATAAATGTTTACGCGATATATACATATCGTTCGGCATCAAAATCGCTGGTGAGTTGTGATGTTTGTAACAATATGATATACCTACGTTCTTCAACAAATAGGCGACCACTTCGTCGTTCACCGGTTTATTATATATCTTCCTATAAGTAAACACCTTTCGTGATGCGTCAATGGAAATCGTGGAAGAATTCGTCCACTCATTAATGACATTGCGGGTATGTTACTGTGATACATCCTAGTTTATTTTATATAGAATGGTATCATCGTAAAGTTGCATAGCCTCGCGCAGGATCTCAACAAGTAACGATCGGATTGTGAACGGAGAAAATTCTCTTGGCCGTTAACAGATTAGCGGGGTTTGATGTATATATCTTTCGTACGATGTGAATTCTAAATGTGGCGAATAAATACTATATCTGGAAATATTATTTCTAAAGCGGATATTCCAAAGTTTATTTGGGATTGGGTTAAGTGTAAGGATGCGCATAACCTAATGTTGGAATTCATGACAGAGGATCAAGTAGAGCAATTACATGAGTCAACGATGATAATGTATTCTTGCAAAAACTGCCTATCGCAGAAGTACTGAGTCAAATGATTTTCACGGGAGCGGGATGATCGACATAAGAATCGCACTCGGTGTGACATCCCGTCTCGGATTATTACCCAACCTTGTTTCTCTAAAGGAATGGCTGATCCGTGGGATGACGGGGAAGCTGGCGCTGGCGCTTACGCTAGCGCTGATGTATGTATTCTCACTCTCGTCTGTTCCTGCTCCCCTTGACTCTCCATTAAGATCTCTAACCAAGCATTCCGACCTTTCAAATCTCTACGTTAGTTAGCCCAGAAGCCGATAAGAAGCGTGAACGAACATGAGAGAAACAAACAGCTTTGGCAAAATGCGTATGTCATCGATCCGGTTTAACCTTATAAATTTGTAGATCCCTCTTAAATAACATCAAACCCATCGATTTGTAGTAATGCGCATCCGCAGTTTGAAGTCATTCTCCAGGATTCGACGAGGACTCAATATGTGCCCCAGGTGAGTATTTATGTGATTTGATTAGGACTTGTTTCATGGACATATTCTAAATTATTTTTAAAACATTATTCCCCAAATTTACTTTAAACACTGAATAATTCAAATATACATCGTATTAACTTTCTATACTTAATTATAACGCCATATTACAGGCACACCTCAAACCAATACAACCTATTCTTCCTTACTAACCTCTCCATAAATTTTCTCTCCCCCTCCCCCTCTGCTCTTTACTCTTTTTTGTTATGCTGTTGCTGTAATCACAGTTGCGTCTTCTTCAACGTCCCACGGGCTCAACAAACACGACTACCCATCACTCATCTTTCAAGTCAGGAGATCAATCATCTAGTCACTCTGCACAACAGGCAAAAACACTTGCTGAACGCGAGAAAGAATATTTGGCTGCACGACAGAAGATATTTGGCGAATCAGGGGATGGAGATGAGGTGAGACGGGGGAATGATGAAGAATTGAAGAGAACAGGGAGAGAAAGTAGTAAGGATAATGTTTCAAGTGTGAAAAAGCCGAGTTGGAATGCAGATAAACGTGGTAGTGGAACTGGAACTGGAACTGGTACTGGAACTGGAAGTGGAAGCGGAAGCGATAGTAGTAATGAGAAGCGAAGGGTGGATGGACATGGATTCCGTAGGGGCCAAACGGATAAGAGAGGCTTGAGCGCGAGAAGAGGACGAGGGTGAGATGAATGGATTTGCCCGGAGTATGACGTATTGAGAATGTATTCTATAGAGGTTTTGTTAAGGTGAATCAGAGCTTACATATTTTTGCGCCTTGATCTATTATTGCTATATTTATTTTTCGAAACTTCTCGAGTCAAGATTTAGAAGTTAGGACAGATTCTAGAATTATATATCCTGATAATAGAGTATAATGTGAATAATCGGTCTGGTTACAATATGGTCTTATTGTTGTTGACTTAAATAACCCTAATTAATATTGAATTTAGATAAATTAATTGTCAGCTATCAATTGTTTATATGAAAAGATTGTGTGTTATCTTGAACAATTCCGCTTCATTTATAATTATAACGATGCACAGTATAAACAGAAACGATCAAATGCTGCGTTAGCTACTTACTGAAAATGCTAAATTTCAAGTTAATCGCTTAAAATTTAAATATAAACCGTACTAGTACGTCAATGGAACAGTGCTATTTTCACCGCGGCAACTTGCTTGGGTACAAATTGCTATTTTTCACACATTGCTGTTGGCAGCGTATGAAATAAAAGCTCTGTAGCTTTCGGCTGCCCAATATTGAAATGAGCAGAGACACATTTACGCGATGGGCTAAACAGAAATATTTTCCATTCAATGGCAGTCTCTTGTGCTCTTAAACAATATACTTTGGATATACGCCTATATTAAACCTATCATTACTAATAAATTAGGAATAACAAGTCCTGTCAGGGAATAGGCTCCCGCGTCAGCCTAAGCTGA